TGAGGCTGAAGTACCATGGAGAACCAGTGTTCTTGTAATGCAATTATTCATTAGTTAAATGCATTTGGTGTGGAGGGAATAATGATCAGGTAATTTAAGTGGAGTCCTGCAGGCCTCTTTCAAGTCAGTTTTGGTGCCTTTCCACATATGTAGTGATGGCATGAGGAAGAAGTATGGTCCTTTACTGGTGGGCTCAGAAGAGGCCAACGATAGAATCATTATGGGAATATCCAAACAAATTTATATAGCCAATTACTCAAAGTACCAGAGGTTTTATTATCATTTTTGCTGGTGAAAAAGCCAGTGAGGGATCTGCCCTTGTTGCCAGGTTGGTAGGGACAAGGCCCATTTGGAAACCATTTTGTGCTGTATAGATTGTAGATCTCTCTCACAACACAAACGGAGGGGAGGAGGAAAAGAGAGAGATTACATCTAACACACAAATGGTTTCCAAGCATGGTCCTACCAACCTGGCCAAACAAGGGCAAGATCCCTCACTGCTTTTCACCAGCAAAAATAGATACTAAAAATCCTGGTCTTTGGTAATTGGCTTATAATTTGTTGGATATCCATAATGATTCCATATCGTACATGCGAGCGGCCTCTTCTGACCACCACGTTACAAACTACACTAGTCTGTCCTCATGTCATATCATTGACCTATGATGTACCTGAACAATTATGCAACACTGTATCAGATATATGGCTGCAGACTGAAATCTGCCTATATGTTTTCGCTCACTATAATATTATCTTGATCAATAATCCCATCCACAAACTATCGTCAATGATAACATAATACACATTGCATTACAGACACTTGGTTCTCCATGCTACTCAGCTCGATAACACTGGCAATGATGTTAGATGTATTAGACTATTAAAAAAAGAAATCATGCTTCAAATAATTCGGGGTACGGCGTACCCCCGCGTCCAACGCCCACTACACCTCTGATTACATCTCTACAGTCAATCTAAACAGAGAGAGAAGTGAGGAGTTCATTCACAGGCAGCAATATTTCACAGCTGGATGACAGAAATACGCCAACGGGTGTAAAATATGCAGAGAGGCTCAGAGTAGAAAAACAGTAGAAGAAAACAGAAGACATTATTTTAATCTGCCATTTTTATGTTGCGTATGTGGAAACAAGCACTTATTTTATTTTACAGAGGCCCCTACATGCCTATAGGGGGGGGGGGTTGGAAAGTCATAATTGCAGGGATTATTTTACAACCCTTAGGAGTCGATGCACTTCAGAAACAAACTTAGAGGCTGTGTTTCCCTTCTTTCTACACTGCTCTTTTAAACCCAGCTTTATCAGCCAGATCAGCCCGACCTGCATCTACCACCCTGCATTTCAGACAGTTCAAAGTTATGACTGAAAACACAAAGGAGGCTTGAGACATGGAGAGAAGAGGGAGAGGGATCAGTATCCCTGCATAATGGCGGACTAGTTCATGATTTAACTGAAAAGCGTCAGGTATGTCTGCCCATAAAAACCTGAAGTGAAACTGTCAAGAAGAAGCTGAAAGTCTGTTATCAGGATGGGATTAGCCTATGTCATAGTCTTGTGAGAGTCAAAAAGAGGCTTTTCCACCTTTGGAAAGTACGCTTTTAGTTCCTTTTACAATCATTCAACTCGGGTTGTATTACACACTGAACATTAGCATAAAATATCATCTGTCATCAGCTTTAATCCAGAAGAATACCAGCCGTTGTTAGTGGAGGCAGTTGGAGATTTGTAGAGATAACGCGTCTGGCACTCAGCCAAATGTAAAGCATATCTCAGAGTCAAAGTCGAGCTGCGTGGAGCTTTGAGGCCGGCCGCCCGGCAACACAAAACCCTCCGTCTGACAACACAAAGCCTGCAGGGGTTACAGGGGAAACTTTCCAGAGAGAGGAGTCACCGCCTTTCTCTGCTAATGAATACTGCTGAGGAGACATAGAGACTCCAGCTAGGGACAACAAGCAAAACAGAGACCTGCTCTCGCATATACAACACTGTAATGTCTGTTTGCTCTTGAATGCATCACGGTTAATCATCAGTTTGTCTCTGTCTTGTGCTGCTTTTAGGTCAACCAAATAAATTAAGGACAACGGGTAGAATACAAATGAGCATAATAAGCCCCCTTTAATATTCCTATATTAAAAAAGCTTTCTAAAGAGTCCTCTCCTGCTGATGTTCAGTTGTATATCAGTATGTAGTGTCTCTACTTTAAAGAGTCCTCTCCTGCTGATGTTCAGGTGTATATCAGTATTTAGTGTCTCTACTTTAAAGAGTCCTCTCCTGCTGATGTTCAGGTGTATATCAGTATGTAGTGTCTCTACTTTAAAGAGTCCTCTCCTGCTGATGTTCAGGTGTATATCAGTATGTAGTGTCTCTACTTTAAAGAGTCCTCTCCTGCTGATGTTCAGGTGTATATCAGTATGTAGTGTCTCTACTTTAAAGAGTCCTCTCCTGCTGATGTTCAGGTGTATATCAGTATGTAGTGTCTCTACATGTCTCCATGCATTAATGTTCAAAAAGCTCTTTATTGTTCTCATACTGCCTGTGCTGCAGCACCTCTTTTCACCCTCTGTCTGAAACCAGAGCCCAGTCTGCTCTGATTAGTTAGCTGGCCGGCTCTGTTGTGATTGGTCAACCTCTTAGTGTGTCCCGCCACTCAGCCTATCAATGTGTTGGGCGCTAACCAATAGAGCTGCAATTGTTACTTGTGATGTCACTATGTAGCGAGCTGTAGACGGGTCAACGAGAAGTTCAGGGCAGGCTGAGCCGTAGAGATGGTGTGGGGGTACACCTCTCCTGTGAATAACTTATAGCACACAAACACTCGTACACTATTATATAAGTGATCCATATACATGCGCGAACACAGATGCTTATCAATTCTGTAGTATAAATATTCCTAAGTGTGGTGGTCTCATTATCTATATACTCATATCTAAATTTACTGTCTCTTACAGAGTGGAGAGATTTAAGTATTGACTGGCGTGGAGGTATGAGGTTTTCAATGTGTGTTTAGGTACATGTATGATATCTCTCATTCCAAGGTGTGTGTGTTTAGCACAATGCGGTGTTTGCACTTCACAAGGTTCCATTTGTTGGGAATTGTCAGTACATGCTTCCTCTTGTCGCTTCGTATGTGCCTCAGGCCAGCTTCCTCCTGTTACGCGCCTATGCAAAAGCATAGAAATGTGGGTGTTGAGGTGGTGTGACGCGAGGTGTACATCTATGTGCTCTCTCTTGAGCCTCCAACGAGTCATACATATAATCACGCGCTGTTATTGTTTCTTTGTGTAAGAATCGTTATGAGTTCTTTTGAAAACACTGCACACGTGCGCAACTGCTTTCACTGGTGAGCTGTACAAACATACAGCAATTCTGCTATACTTTTGAGTATTCTACGGTACAGCGCGTAAGGTGATATCACTCTTAGATCTTCGGCTGTGCCTGTAGATCAGAAATACGGTATGAGGAGAGGTCTAATGTGTGTGCGGTGTAATTACACTTTAGTAAGAATTACAGTGATACAGAAAGTTATCGCTCATATTTCCTACATTTATAAATTCTGACCCACGTATATTTGTTCGGAGATTGCTTGGGTGACTGTGCGGCAGATAGCATGGCTTGTAAATAAGATTGAAGGAAAGATATTGTCGATGTGGTTGGGTGCGCGATTCTGGGGATTGATTGTGCTATGGCGGTGTGTCTGTGCTTACTTCTGCGATGCCGGGCTGTGATTGTGTGCAAGGGGTCGGGGGCTTTGGGTGCCCACGATATCCCTCTCTTCACCCTCGTATTGGATCGAGTAGCATATTAGGACCTGTAGACTCTTCCCCTCACCTTTATCTCTCGCCCCCCCTGTTCAGGCGAAAGCGCACCCCTCTTAGTTACCAGTCCACACGTAATTTGCGTCCAATTGTAATTTTGTTTCTACAGCATACTGAGAAACAACAGATTAACCTGGCGGCGGCGTTATTTATCATTTATCAAACATTATTTGAATGTACCTCTCCCGAGCCCTGCCAGGATGACACTGTCAGCGCCACACGCAGAAGCAATTGCAATCAGATTTACTGTGCATGAAATTAGGTGGTGCTTTTATGGTCCAAAGATTAGTCATCATAAATTTATAGGCGTTGCTTTAGGCGG